AAACGAATTTTTATTGATAACTGGTGGAAATGCATTACATAACTGGCTCTTCAAATCTGATGAAACTACGTTGACAATATATGAAACTTCAAAATTTTATGTTGGGTCTATTGTGGCTCACCCCTAGAGGTTACAGTTCACTGTAGGATCCATATCTTTTTAAAAAGGTCATGGTTGAATTATGTGAGATTTGTCTGAAATCGATAGGTTCTAAATTGGTAAAGTCAAATATGTCGAACCTCAGTCTCCTTAAGCAAAAGCATGAACATAATATGTGTTCAGTCGACTTTGCTTCCACACAGCAGAACCGACAGTCCGTTTGTTGGTTTAGACCCATCCTTTCAAGGTGGTATCTTAGACGACAGTATCCAGTAAGCAGTCCTGTCAGAATTTGCAGGTTACCCCTGCTCCATTCTAAGATCTGCCTGGTTTATATCTTTCGCTGGTTTAGGCAGAAACGCCTTCAAATGGTTTATTATGGTAATTCAGACCACTTCCTGGTGTCCAGGTACCCACAGCAAAGTAACTCTGTTGTTTGCACTCAGGCATTTTAGGGTTTCAATACAGCTCCATACAAGCTTGGAATTTATCTTACTGGAGCTCAGTGCTTTAAGAGCAGCCTGACTGTCTTATACAATACTGAAAGATTGTAGCATACTTATTGAGATTGACAGTGATTTCCGTCTTCGGTTTCCTGTTGAACACGGGCCCCAACTCCAACAGGGGTTTCCGAACCATCTGTGTACATTACGTGTTCAGTCTCTGGAAATAGGACTGATCCACTTATCCACTCGTCGGGAACCATTCCTAGAGTTTGGTGATTTTTTGTTTCACACAGTATCCCGGAGTGGTCCAGCAGTCGCTCCCCTCTAATTTGATTTTCTAGTGACAGGAATCTTTGGTAAACCATCCTGGTTTCTCGAGATAATTTGGAGGGGAGTGTGGTTCAGGAGGTTTTCTATCGCTGCCGTTGGAGTAGAGGATAGCGTTGTAATGGCCAGGCATGCCAGCAGTTGGGGCTTTGCCCTGGCTGTCTCTTGTAGACCTTCAGTCCACCAGACTACCGAGCCATTCGCGATAGAAAATAAGCTTGCGCCACTTACCGGGGGTCTTGAAAGCTGTCAAAGTGGCCTGTTTACTTTCTTTCCATTGGTTCACATTTGTTTTTGTTTGTGCTTATTGGTCACATCATCAAAACAAACCGCTCAGAAGTGTTCAAGCTGTTGCCGTGAGGTAGAGCGACGTGTTATTTTCTATCCCGAATACGTGACCATTGGTTTTACCATTGTTTGGTAAATCTAGTAAATCTGTTCACCTCCCAAAGGTATACTACGAACTAAAAATTGATCAGTACCAATGAGTGGACAAAAGCCATAAAAGCATTTGAAAAAAACATGAGAGTGCTGATTTCAGCTACTCCTGTATATTCTCCATTTTGCTCACAAAATGGAGGTGAATACATTGAAACATTGACGTGTCTCTCGAATTTTCATAACCTTCCAGCTAGCGAAATTATACCAGTTGAAGTCTGAACACAGGAACCTCTCTCATTCACCTGAAATTCATTTGGAAATAGGCTAATTGTATATACAAAATAATTTATTGTTTTTTTTCACTCCAAAGATGTTAGTTTTCTAATAATAGATACCCATTTTATCAAGAGTCCTTCTAGGGTTGTCTGAAATTCAATTTTTTACATCCCATTTTTTCAGGTTTAGTCGTATTTGTTAAGAAAGATTAGTAGTAACGTCATATAAAATTTAGGATATTCTATTTTTGAGATATAAGTGAATTGCTTTTGTACAAAATTATTTCATTTCTCACTACAAAGATGGTACCTAGTTTTTAATTATTAGATATTTCATCAATAGTCCTTTGAGGGTTGTTTAACCTTGAATTTTTAATCTATTTAAGTTATTTTCATTCAGAAATATTGGTAGTTACCCGTTTGATAGCGGTACCAAAAACTTAGATTCACAATTTCAGTTTACGATTAACCAGTGTGAAGTTCTCATGGTATGAACCTATGATGGTATGAAAAAATATATCATGAATCTACAAACTTGAATGTCTCTGTCATCGGTAGATCAATTTCAAAGTTAGTTGGATCAGGAGCCTTTATAATAATTATTGTAATATTTCCCAATCTTAGATAAGGTATATTCATATGATAACTATAAGAGACAAAATGACTAATTTTGTTTCGCCGAACTCATTTGTATTTTTTCACAATCCTATCAATATTCATAATGATATTACCAAGTTTGTCATTCTAGTCCATATTCTAGTCTCAGCAGAATTATTTTAGTCATACTTCATACCTTATATTATACGAAAGGGTGAGATTTGAATTATTTAGGGCCAAAGATAATGATAGCAGTGATGTAGTATTTTGTATATTAAGAAATTTTGTGTGCCATGTATACCTATCGAAAAATAAATTCCTTTCGAATCTTACATTATTATGTTGTGTACAATAAATTTCCATTGGATTCAACTGTGCATGGTCGAGTTTCGAGTGTCTTTGTGAATACTTTCTGCACCTACAAAAACTCACCCTGGTCCGATTCACATCCACGCAACATTTCAAATGAACATTCCTGTGAAAGAGATTCGGTTATAGAGATTAAATTGAATATTGCCCCACTATTGTCGAAAAAATCGAATCATCCTGTATATAAATTCTAGCAATGATAGAAAGGTTAGCGGTTGGAAAGTGCGCCAAACTTCCAAATTGATGCCAATTTTCAGCGACAGTTCTTTGCAGGAATGTGTTGAGATTGTTCGAAATACTCATATAGATAAACTGTGCCAAAGATAAAAGCATATTATAAAAGAAAAGTTTCGCGAGTGAAGGAGCAACAAAATAACATTAGAAATCTCCAATATGACTTTTTGTTTTTGAGTTATTTCCAAAAAACTGAAAAGACATCTTCATGATAACTTCTGATGCTATTCAATTTGGCATCATCTATTTTCTGATCAAACGTTTCGTCTATGAGCAACCATCATCAACTTGTAACTTGTTATTAGATTCGTATGTAACCATTCCATTGTGATTTGGACGATATGATCCATATTGTGGTTTTGATGCGTTTCGAGTTCATTTTGGCCATCTCAAGTAATTCTTGGAATACGTCCTGAATTTCTCATAATTCTGAGAAAGAGTCTTTTCTTGAATATCCGAAATGAAAAAGAGGAAGCCATACTAGATCGATTGATACCGAACAAATAGTTCATTAATCAGAAATAACTCCGAAGCCTCAAATAAACAAGTGATATGTAATATGATAAATCATCCACTAACCTCAGACATATACGTTTCTATCGTTCTGGAGAATGACCCATATGTCATAGCTCAAGGTATAAATATATTATTTCAAAGTCGATATTTTCACGATTTATCATTCATTAATTATTCATTATTTTGAACAATCTGTTTCATATTTACGTTAAGCAAGGTTTGTTTTGTACAATTTGGTGCGACAATTGAGTATTATTTATACAAACTTCAACTCACATACACCGTTTGTTTCACATGCTAGTCATTGCATAATATTACTGATTATATATCAACATATAATCTCCAGAAGTTCAAGAAAAATTCCAATACCTACCTCCTATCCCTATCCTCCCTAGGAACGCACGATGTTCTTTGAACATTATAGGGATTCCCTTTCGTGCGCTCCAAGCGATAAAAAAAATTTGGACGGGTCCTTTTCCTCGATAATAAATTATTTAATGATAAAAATGAAGAAAACAATTATTTTCAAGATCAGAGCATTTGCATCATTGTGAATATTCAATATTGATTTATTTCAGAATTTATTGGGTATATGGGCGAGATGTTCATGATAGGAATTTGCATGGTGTTTGCACTGGCGTTTTGACAATAATAGGCGACAAAACATCCTCATTGCATTTTCCGGTTCTGAACAGGTCTATTCATGAAAACCGTTGCTGAATTGGAAGAATGAATCGATCAACTTTTCAGAAATTTAGAGGTTTTGCCAATTGGGTGGACATCTCTTCAGCTAAAATATTTGCGAACACTTTGAACTTCCGAAAGTAAACTACAACTACAACAGTTCGCTTGAAAGATCCTTGAACGTTTTCTAATAATTTTAATTTCCAAAATAATAATCCAACAGTGATATCCGAATGAAAATAATTGTCAACTCGTCAGGGCGTTGAACTGTTCGAATTAACGTCCATGTCAAATGATAGAGTTTTATAATTAGAAGTACAGAAACTCTGTCCCATGGCAAATAGCGACATCTATAAATAGAGGAAAACAGAGAGTCCAAAACTGAGACCCATCTCGGTAAGAAATACAAATACTTTGTACTCTAACTTCCCATTTGATATAAGTTTTCATGTATTCCATGTCATGACTGAAAACCCTCCAATCACTAAAGTTATTGGAGCTGTTCTACTTGAAATAAATTACTTCAGTACATATCCTGTTTCTTCAAATCTGGAAAAATTTTTAGGCGTAATACTTCCTGTTATAAACCATTCTTACGTTATTAATGTTTATATAAGTTCAATACCTCTTGACTCAACACTTTCTTGCCATTTGAGATTTAGCGATAGACTGATGTTTTTATAAAAATATATCAAATAAAGATTAGTAGTTGCCGCAGGAATTTCTCAGCGAATCGTGATAGAATATGACTTTTACCGGACTCAATATCAACCGTTGTTTCTGGCGATCCTCTGTCACCAACTACAGAGTGTTTTATTTGAAGTAACGGAGTTGCAGCACATTTCCGGTATAAGCAGACGTTCTAAGAGTTCGAAAAAAAATCCAGCTGAAGAGATTGACAACCATTTCAAGAGAGTCAATTCAATCCTTCGATTCAGCTAACCAACAGTTCTCAAATTAACCTGTATCAATTCGAGTGTCGTCAGGCTCCTGTCAATGTATGAGTATAAAAAAGATAAATTCTCAGTCGAAACACCATGTTCACTCATTAACATCTGAGGTATACGACTGAATGCAAGGTGATTTTGCTGAACATCAATTTATCCATATTTAATTTTTGTAGCGATTCTAGAAACATCCTTAGACACCAACAATCTATTCTCAGAATCATTGATAACAGAAGATGAAACATGGACCATACAAGTGATGTACCCAGATGGGGAATCTCCTGATTCCGATGTCTTTCCAGGAGAAGATACTCTGATCTCCCTCGAAAATGTCGAAAACGTCGAAGAAATCCTCAAATCGGTACAGGCAGTGAAAATCGCCGACAGAGTTGAAAAACGTTGCAAAAAATATGAGAAGGCGAAAGTTTCATTGCGAAAAACTTTAGGCAACGCTTGTCCTAAATGTGACAAGATATACAATGCCAGGCGTAATTTGCTCAGGCATATCAATCTGGAGTGTGGAAAAGAACCGAAGTACGCTTGTATGTATTGCCAGTACAAAAATTACAGAAGGAATGAGATCAACAATCACATGAAGAAGAAACATGGATTGACGTAATCCACAAGCTCTTATAATCCCACACCTGAGTTGAAATCATGTAAATATCATAAATCAATTCCGACAATTGAATAAAAATGTATCACTGCTCTTCTCTTCTGCCTTCCTTTTTCATGTGCACCTTTACTTCCTTCTGAGAATGGTAACACTGAATTGTCACACTATACCATTTCAACTTCAAATTAGAATTAATTGTCATGGAAATTCCGATAGAAGTGCGGCCTTCAGTCCCTACAAACCAAGGCTTCAAGCGATCCATTAGATTCCCAGAGACTTGATTCACACCATATTTCGAAGGAAACTGACAAAACAACCAACTGATACATGAGTTGAATTGAATCGAAACATTGACATGTTATACCTACTGATATTGATTCAAGTAGGTGTTGATGATGGTGACAAATGCGCTGCGTACTGATTAGATGCCCATTTTCTTATCTGAAGCAGCCCCTCAAAAAGATCTTCGTCGTATTTCTTCCACTGTCAGTGGGAAGTGAGTTCCTTGCACTCTGTCCTTTCTCATTGACGTTACGTTTTGGCGACTATTTCACGCAGTTATCATTTGAACCAATGAAGCTCTGGTTTTTTATCGAGTTAGAGATTTGTTCCCAGTACGTCCGAATATAATACAGCTTTCGTTTAGTTCTGCTAAATGAAAGCTGAACTTCGCCTTTTATTTTGTTTAAACCATTATGGATACAAATTGTAGTTTTTTTTGTTAATTGAAAATAATAAAGACGTATTATTATTATTATACATTGAAATTTCATATCATATTGTGATATTATTCAGTAGGTACACCTTCATTCTCTTTTTAAAAACATTGTTTTCTCCAAACGCCACAGAAAGTGGCTTTTCTATGACACTTAATAGGCAGCAAAGGTGTACTCTTTCTGCCTAGGTAGAAAAAGTTTGTTGGTATGCAACATTCCAAAGTAATTTTGATGAAATTGGCAATCAAAATTGACAATGACATTAGGTAAACACAAAATGATGGAATTTCCGATAAAAAAATCACACAAGATTGGCTTTATAACATTTGGAGAAAAAATTATATGTTTCACATGGCAGCAAAGTAGATTGACTGCCTTGGCTGAATTACCAGCTTCGCTACGCTCGGCTATGAACTATCAGCCGCCAAAGTCAATCTACCACATTTGCTGCCTAGTTAAACAAATGACAATTCACCGTTTAGCGATTGGATTTTCCTCTTAGGTTTCTATCAGTGAAGTTTTAACCGCAGTGACATTTTGGGGCAAATCATTTTGATGATTTGTTCTTACTACAGGTATACTGAAATGATATTAATGATTCCGTTCATAGAGGCGAGGAGAGAACATTTCAGAGTCTAGAGTAGTGAATGTTCTAATACACTTGGTGCTACACTGAGAAAAACTGGTTAATTAAAACGTCTAGTTGGTATTTTTTTAGTACCGATAATTAAAAATATTTGGAATTTTATTAACAATGACAACGTATCCTTATTTCCTACAAATGACTTTTCTATTTTTCGCCAATTATTTGTCATCAATAAAAATACTATTTGTGACAGAATTATCACAGTGTTGTCTATTCAGTTAATTAGAATTTCATATTGGGGTTAAAAAATCTCATTCTGGGGTTACTAACCTAACCTGACTATTTGCCACAACTGATGACACATTCATCGTAAAAGGTTTATCATTATTCATAGCAGAAATTGTTTAGCCATAACTAATAATTTTAGTTGTACTGCGTCGTTCGGGACCGCCTCGCGTCTCTTCGGGACCCACCGGCAGAAATTGCATCTTGCATCTGTTTGTCTTTCTGTTTCATCATTTGAACTAGTATCTTAATAGTGGGTAGATCGCACGGTCGTCGAGCTTTGACAAAATAAATAAAATAATTGTCTAGTGTAGCCGGGAGCGTCTTGTTTTTGCTGGTTCACTGCTCTGTGTGTTTTCAAATCACTGTTTTGTGTTTTTTTGCACTTCGCGCTGAGCCATTTGGCATTTGGTTGGCAAAATAATAATTCGCAGTTTACCATCGTTATCTGTGCGTCACTAGTTATCAGGTTTAGGTACCTATTCACAATTCAGTTCAGTTTACGACGGGCGACGGTGAGAAACGTCCATCCGACGTCATGTGTACACGGTGTATATTTATAATTCCCTCTCTTTTTGTTGAGCTGTGGCCTGTGGCACTTACGGTGTGTGGTGTATTCCTGTTCACGATTCCATTGGAAATTGGAAGGAAAATGGCATACAAACTGTTATTATTAGAATGAGGCCTTGATTTTAATTGATATAAAACTATTAAGTTGCCAGAATAACTAAATTATATTTCAAACGTTATTAAATCACTTTTAATAGTAACTAGATTGCATTTCAGACACAATTGAATATTTAATTTGCAACAACACACTCACTATTAACGTCAGAAGAAATGAGTAATTGCCCCAACTGGGATAATTTGTTGTGATAACAAACATATATTGAGACAGTACTAACAATCTAATTGTCATAACTATGTATCTTGATTGTGGCAAATAAAACTTGGTATTATTCCTCAAAAAGGCTTATTAGTTACCACAACAACGCCGTAGATGACTCAACTAAACTTTTCATTTGATGCAAATAGGCGTTTCCAGAAAAACAGAATTAGTTATGGCAACAACTAATGCTTGCTGTCCCCTATCGTACTAAAAAAAAAAATTCTGTAGTTACTAATTTTTTCAGTAACGGCTACAAATTTTTTCCCTCAGTGTATTTTCTTCATTCCGTCTGATTCAGAGTGAGTATCAGTCAGAAGCTATCAGAAAAACAATAGTCCATCAACAGTTATCCACCGAGGAAATAATTTAATAACTTTCATTAAAACTCTACTATGGGTGTGGGTCTTACTTTGATTGCCACTAGGATTACTAGGAAAAAGACACCCAGACACTGTTTATTTGCTATTATCGAACATTATCAAATAAAATACTTACAGTAATGACACAGAAGTATCAACCGTTAATAATTATTGTACTTGTTGTTAGTGTCGATTTCATTTAGTATAAGACAGGTGTTCGTCATTATTGAAGTATACAATTGGTTCTATAAAATGGTGAAATAATACATGAAACATTATTATAATACTTTAATTGTGACAAGGAGCAAGATATTTATATTTAGTATAGTCGTTCACTGAAGTATGAAAACTATGAAACTTTGATAATGATAAATACTGTATGGTCAGAGTTCTTTTTTAATTTCCAGAAAATACTGAACTTTGACGATTGTAAGTCAAAAATGTATTGAATTAATAAAATTGTGTCAAGTGCACTAGTGCCCTTGGACCGTTTATCTCGGTGTGTTTCTATTATATTTTTAATCAAGCAGAATACTTATATTCGAGATTGGCAATTAATGATTTGGATATACTAGAAACGATATCATGAACTCTATGAAAATATGTTCAGCTGCATGAAGTATTTTGGCAACCCGAGAAGTAATGTTTATTAAAAAATCGTTGAATCAAACGGAATAGAAATATGAATGGATCATCTGCCTACTGGTTCATTCTCACAGTATGTCTGTAGGAGACTTAAATGAATCGCTGGGAGGTGGATATTTTTTCTAAAAATTATTGGCATACGTTCACGATTTAATGTTTTTACCCACTTTTTGCAAGCAATTTCAAGAATATATACCTCCAGGGGAAGCTGAACTCACCCTCAACATAATTTTTTGTTGAAATATAACCCTATGACTTGTGACTCCCCATTGGAAAGCTGGTGGAAAGAGGAATCCAGCGTACTAGTCGAATGTTAGTTTTTCATACGTTCAAAGGTTGCACAGATTTGAAATGTAATTTTGAAATGCTTTTTTTTCAACGAACCAATAGCTCGAAATGTGTGTTGAATAATTGATGGCAATTTTTTGCCACTACTGCTATCTGATATTGTATTCCAGTGTTTCCATAGAACCACAAAAATAAATTTAGTTTTTTCGCCGTATTCACAGAAATGCCCCAATTCACTGTCACTAAAAGTCGAAATTTTGATAAAAGTACGTTGAAAATATATCAAACTTCGTAATTATATTTTGATTTTATGCGACCTTCAAACGTAATGCATACTGAAATCAGTGGCGGCTCCTCAGAGGAGGCAACGGAGGCTGAGCCTCCTCAGAGATTCTCCATAAACTGATATTATCTATACTCTCTCATAAACAGGACACCAAAATACATGGATTTTGATTTAATTTCCTGTTTTTAGGTAAATATTTTTCAATTGGCAACAGTGTTTGCCCACGCATCACACGTCTGCAAATCACGCGTGACTTGGCAACATCTATAGGAGGCTAGACTTCTTCACAATGCGCAACCCACGAGCGCAATGCAAATGCCCGAATACGCCCGAACCGAATAGCACGTGTTTGACGTGTCGCGAATTGCGGACAATCCAGTGCGAGTGCATTGTTTATGTTTGGTTAATGGTTAGGGGTCCTATGAATTTCTGAAAAATGAGTGTTTTAAACGATTGCGATTTGGTGGAACACTTTTTGGTGAACCCATTCAGTGCTTTGTTTTATGAAGATAAATTGATTGTGAAAAACAAACGTCCGACACCGGAATTAAAAAATCTGATTGTAACAGGTAACAAACAAAATCGATCGTTCAATTATGATAATTATAAAACATATATCTGGTTGACGGGATCTGGGGTAAGGAATAAGCTATTTTGTTGGTACTGCGTATTATTTTCAACCGATGTCATCATGTTGGTGGCTCGGTTGGGGGCGAATAGTATCGAGTTCAGGTTAACTGGTAAACAGAAATTTTACAATGAATTTCATATCATTCAGCCTCCTCTGTCATGAAAGTCACGAGCCGCCACTGACTGAAATATGATCTGTACGCTGTATTCCTCTTTCAACCAGCTTTCCAATGAGGGGATCGGATTTGAAAAAAAAAACATATTGGGGTTGATTCTAGCTACTCCTGAAGGGATATATTCTCCATATTGCCTGCCAAATGTATAAGTGAATACATTTGATGCGTGTCTCGCGAATTTTCAGAAAAATGCTTCACTCCCCCTGTAGCAAATTTATTCCAGTTGAAGTCTCCACCCTGTATATCGACGTCTATTGTGTATACTTACACTTACTGATTATTTTTAGGGAATTCTCTGAAGTTCTACACTTGTGAAAGCTGCAAAAAATCTTACCGTCACCAGGCTTCCCTATTCAACCACCAGAAGTATACATGTGGAAAAGTTCCTAGTTTTTTCTGCAATGCTTGTAATTTTTCTACCAAATATGTATACCACATCAAACAACATTGTATGTTTGTGCACAATGTTCAAAAATGTACAGAAAGTGATTATTTCCAGAAATTGGTGCTTTGATGGAATAGATAATTATAATAAGCGAGGATATCTGTTCTTTTAGTTTTGTTCTGAATAATCCATTGTTTCCTTAGTGAGCTATTTGTGATGATACTAGTTATCCATAGGTCGATGCTGCCATCTTTATGATTAATTGATTAACGCATTACTCACAGAAATATTGCGTTATTGAATTGGTAAAATGATTTCATAAAATTCTTGTGCCAAGTAGTCCATTCCCTCAAAATGTAATGACTACAGGTATAGGTACAAAATACGTATACAGTGTGTCCATTTAGTGCGTAATTCTTCGATATCTCGAAATCAATTATCACAAGAGAAAAACTTTGGAGAAAAAACTTTTTCAGTTACTAAAGTTGCTTATTTCGAAAATATTTCCAACAATACTGGGTGTATTATAAAAGCGGGGCAACTCGATGACGAGTTTTTTCAAATGGAACACCCGGTATTGTTCATTCGAAATTTATTTCGCTCAAGTTCAGCTCTACATCGCTGTAAAAAAATTGAATTTGGCGGCGGCGTTGCCAAGTTATAATTGATCAACCCATTTTTACTACTATTGAAGGGTCATGTTCGAATGGGTATGGTTTTATTGATTGAAATTTCGAAAATATTTTTGGCATACAGTAGTAGCAAGGTCTCACGTATACCAATCCAGTAATCTTGCGAGATAATCCTCTACAGGGTGCTAAAATTTACATTCTGAATATTGTGTAAGATTCAGACGACGATCATAAGAATTTTTCAAATGGAACACCCTGTATTTTTCATAACAGATTTATTTCGACATCATTCGCCTTTCAATCGCAGAAAAAAAATCAAAATCGTTTGCGGCGTTTTCAAGTTCTTCATTTTTACTTCTAGTTCGGGGTAATTTGTTCGGATGGTTTCAATTTGATTTGAGTGTGGGAATATTGCTTGCCACATGACATTCGAGGTTCTTCATCGATCATTCAGGTATTTTTGTGATATGTGCATCGTCCAAATTTGAAATATTCCGTATTCTTGTTACTTAAGGTTCAAATAATATGTGAAACAAACAAACATGCCGAAAGCAACGCCTGTATTTGAAACAACTTCTACAATTCAAACAATGAAGATGCGGATTGCGAAAATTATGACAATTTTTCGAAATTTGGGTCATTTTTATTGTCGTTATTCCCACAATCAAAATCTCCATTTAACTTGAAGAAGGTAAACATAATGATACAAGCAATATGTCTCTACTACGCGGCTTTTGGAAGGGAATTCAGCAAAATGTCGAATCAATCCAAGAAATATTTGATTGTGGCGATGTCTGGCAGGTCGAAAAAAATTCAAACTTGGAGAGCCTGTAAATATTCCTTTTGTAAAAGAATATATGAATGGTCAATGAACAAATTTGATTATACCGTAGCAACGCAATATTTCCAGAATACAAATAAATGAAAGAACTTTGACGTACAAATTACCCCGAAATAGTAAAAATAAGAAAATTATCCATAACTTGACAACACCGCAACCGATTCCGATTTTTTTTCCAGCGATAAGACGACCCTTCGTTGTTCAATTCTCAGTAGTAGACCTCTGCAAGATTCAGTTAATCAAATGATAATCCATTTTAATTTCAATTTTCTTATGCAAAATGTTGACTGTTGAATAGACGATCAGTAGACCTTTCCAACGAGGTGTCACATGACCCCTATTTTCATTTGAAAAAATCGTTCATTACGTCATTGCTCCAACATCGGTGACGTAACATCTCTCATATGGATATCATGAGATGAGGCTTCAAAAATGAAACCTCACCTGTTTTTGGAATTTTTCAAAATGTCGCCCATTTCTGAAATAATGAGTTTATTCCATACATTTGCATCATACTGTTATATAAGACACATGTTTATTTGAAAAAAAGTCTCATTTAGATCCCACAATACTTCCCTACAGCGAATTCTGAATCACCCTGTATATATTTTTTGCTGTGCATACGATTTTCCATAATTCAGTGGTTTTTCATTTTGCATCACTTTCAAACTTGAAATAGAGTGCTATTCAAAGACAGGTGAAGAATTATTTTTCTATTTCTGTATGTAGTTCATGGGAGTGGTATTATAGCCAGAGGAAATAGTAGCTATATTCTGTTGTTACATTAAGAAAAATCCTCGAATTATTCTCCATAAAGGATTACCTATATACAGGGTGAATCCGAAATTGAGTTTTTTTTATATATATCTTGCCATAATGAGTTGTCTGGCCAAGAATTGTTCATATAAAAATTTCAGATAATAGAGGTATAGGTATTTCAAGATTTAAAGAAATCTCCAAACATTTTGTTTACATTTTAACGGATGGAAGCCGCAAAAAAGCCGTTATTATTTCAGCATAATGAGTCTTATTCCATTGGGTAGGTAACTCTACAGTTATATGATTTCATCAGAAAAATCAATCAATAACTCCTTTTTCAATTTCCAACCTTACAATTTTAATTTTAAAGTGAACCAAAAAAATTCCGTTATTCAAAATTTTTCATGTAAACAATTTTTGGCCGACCAACATTCTGCCGAGATATATACAGAATCTGATTAAAGTATGTGGCCGAACTTCAAAAGTCGATGTTTTGAGTGATTCAAAGTCGAAAGGTTATAATGTGAACTTGGGTCCGGAAATACACCGTTCTCAAGATTCGTCAAAGATTTAAAAAAAATCGCTTTCAGCGAATATATCACAAAAATCTCTGGTCCAATTTTTGTTGAAATATCGCAGGGTTATTTGCAGTAGAAAGGTACTTATCAATAAGCCATTACAATAGATTCACGAAAAAACTATTGTTCGGAAAAAGTTTGAAACTGAAGCTTGAAAATTATGAATTTTTGAAGCTATGGTCATGTAAACTTTTCGTCTAAGAATCATTGAAGCAATCGATCCTTGAAATTTGGCAACATACTTGAATAACACCCTGTATTACTGTGATAAAAAAATCCTAGCCGTCAGACTCACCCTGTATATTCCAAAAACAGGTAATATCGTAGCTGTTGAGTAGATGTTGTTTTTCGTGTGTGTTTTCGGGATCCCCTCATTTTGCATCACTGCTTATTCACAATAACAATCTAATTCCAGCATCGAAGCACAAAAACAGGGAATCCTCACTTCCAATGAAAGTCGAGCTGAAGGAAGAAAAGGAACCTTCTTTTCCAATGAAAGTGGAACTGAAGGAAGAACATGACCTGTTCCATTCAGACAGGGAAAAGCCAAAAAAGAAAACCAACAGAATTCGCGGAAATTTCATGTGCCCTCAGTGCAACAGGACGTATATTCGGAAAGATTCTCTACAGCGACATCTGACGTATGAATGTGGCAAAGAACCCATGTTCCAGTGCCCTTTTTGTCCTCAGAAATGCAAGAGAAGGGGGCACCAACTGAGGCATGTACGGAGGCAGCATATGGATAAAATCGGAATCTTGGAGGAAAACAATCCTGAATTGTTGTTAAAGAAGGAAATTTCCTGATTTGAGTTTTTCCTGAAGGTACTCGTTATCTAATGATTTATGTTGATGAAGCATGTTATTGGTGTTTATTATTTCGATTTACTGCTTATATTGTCTGTTTATCATTATATTTCATTTAGAAACGTATATTGTATATTGAAGCTATTTAGTTTTTTCATTATGTTATTCTAAAACCAGAACGTGTCAGTGCTAAATTGAACATCCACAAAAATACACATGTCAATTCATTCGGGGACACCTAATGTGTCAAAATATAAAGTATCGAATTCAAATCCATAGAAAAATATTTCATCGAATTGGTAAATCGTCAAACTAGTATAGAATCGACACTGTATTCTGTAGAACCGTAAAATATCAAATTGTAAAACATCGGGCCGTACTTCATCGAAATATAAAATTTCAACACGTAAATCATCAAACAGTTTTATGTCGAAATGGTATTAAAACGAGTCATTATTCTATCATATCTGTATCTTATCAGAACTATATTCTATCGAGGCAGTAGTTTATCAAATCCGTATTCTGTCGCAACATCAGTCTATCGTACTAGTTCTTCATCAAATTGGTAATCTATCAGAACTGTATTCCATCAGAAACGATAATTCGTCATAACCGTATTCCATAGAAACCGTAATTCGTCAAAACCGTATTTCATCGAACCAATAAACCATCATAATCGTATTTGGTCATAACAACTTTTCATAGAAACCGTATTTTATAGAATCGGTATTTTATCAAATCAGTATTTCATAGAATCAGTAATTCATCAAACCCGTACTCCATAGAAACGGTAATTCATCATATCCGTATTTCATAGAACCTGTAATTTGTCAGACCCGTATTTCATAGAAATGATAATTTATCATATCCGTATTTTATAGAAACAGTGAAGTGTCAAACCCGTATTTTATAGAACAAGTATCTCATCGGATTCGTATTCCATAGGAATGATAATTTATCAGACCCGTATTTCATCAACGTTAATCTATCATAATGAACATTCATAGAATTGGTAATTTAGCAGCACCGTATCTCATAGAAACCGTAATTCGTCGACACCGTATTCTATCGGACGGAAAATCATCGGATTGTATCCCGTCAGGATGAGATTCAGATGATACAGAAAACTGCACTGCAGCGACACGCCATAGTTCAGGCAGAGACTCAGAGATGTCGCTGCTCGACAGTAAAGTGCAATGATTTCACAGAATCAGCAAGTTTGTCTATAAACAATCGAAACTAAAGTTGTACACGGCAACCTCAGAATGTTCGAGAATGAAATAATTGTAAAATACTGCAACATCATTTCATAATTATATTATGTACAAGCTGTCCCATTTCCGATGTCCTCACGGGATACCTCACTTATTATTCAAGAAGGAGATCTGCGGTTTCTGCAACTTTTCTGTGGAACTCACGATGCCGCAAACGAAATATTCATAGCCTGCTTGGTTTTTGGGATACAAGGAGAAATTTTAAATGTTGCATTTTCGGACCACTCCTGTATCTCAGCTATATTTCAAATTACAGAAGAAGTGAAAACAGTTTCTCATACATTTCTTCACGTAGAATCCAGTGGCGTAGTCAGATTTTCAAAATAAGCTGTCATTATCAATTTTTTTGTCTCTTGGGGCGCATGAAAGGAAATCCCTTCAATGTTTGGAAATCATCGTGCGTACCCAGGAACGAGGAGGTAGAAATTGAAATTTGTTTCGATCTTTCGGATCTTACGAATATTTCCATTGGCAAAAAATCCCAAAGCTTCGTCGTTCTATATAGGCAAACAATTATTGTTGAAGATTTGTTCGGCATATCTCAGAGTTGACGACGAAGGGATGTGCTGATTGAGATTGTCGAGCTCGTCTGAGTGGTATTGCGATGGAATGATTGGAGAGATTTCTGGAGATCATTCACCGTAAAAGAACTTATATTGAAATGTGAGAGGTCGCCGCCTCTTCAACGGTCTTCAAGTGATGTCAAAAAAATTGTTGAGTGTGGCATCACCCACCAGACCTTGAGAACCTGTTGAGGTGTAAAGTAATTTTCGCACGGAATAAAAATCCGAGTTTCTGCGAAGCTGCTTTCGCGATGGATCGAACATGATCGTTCCATGAAAGAGAAAATACCTTTATAGCATAAATATAGTGGTTTTGGTAGGAATACTGGTTCCAGACATTGTTATATCAGACATGCTGAGTTCTGTCCCTCTATAGAGAAAAATACAGGGTATATTTTTGGTGGCGTTGAATTGATCTAGATTGTTGGTACCCTATAGGTAGTTATTTGTCGTCATGGACAGCGTTGACCTGCCGTCGTCGTAAGTTCTTGGTTACCTGGAAATAAGTGGGAATTCTAGAAGAGAACTCAGTATATGGAAAGTTCTATCGTCTGCAAAGCTGTGGATACGGCAAGTGGTAGCTTCCGACAGATCATCGATATGAATTAGGAACAATATGTTGGATCCGAAAGTGCGATCCTTGTGGAACGCCGGATTTTTTTTTTATCGCTTGGAGCGAACGAAAGGGAATCCCTATAATGTTCAAAGAACATCGTGCGTTCCTAGGGAGGATAGGGACAGGAGGTAGGTATTGGATTTTTTTTCGAACTTTTGGAGATTATATGTTGTTGGGAATACTTCCACAGGCAATGAATTCCAGAGCCTAACTGTTCTTTGGACGAAGGAGTCTTGATAAAGTGATGTTCGACATCTTTCGAGATTGACAACGAAAGGATGTGCTGACTGGGCTTGTCTAGTTCGTCTGATAAGTATTGCTAGTGAAGGGATGATAGCAGAGATTTCCGAAGAACATTTCCCGTGGAAGTATCGATAGAAAAGTGAAAGGTCGCCGACCTTTCTACGGTGTTCCAATGATGTCGAAGAGTGAGTGAGTGTGGCGTCACCCACCAGGCGAATGGATGGAATCTAAGAGCATCAGCGTATGTTTTGGTGCCGAACCCCATATGTGGGAACAGTATTCTAGAACAGGCCATATCTGCGCTTTGTAGATCATGAGAAGCTGTTGAGGTGTAAAGTAGCTTTTCGCACGGAACAAGAATCCGAGTTTTTGTGAAGCAGCTTTTGCGATGGATCTGACATGATTATCCCATGAAAGAGTGTTGCTGATGTAAATACCGAGCATAGATATGGTGGGCTTGGTGGGGATGGTGGAGCCAGACATTACAATATCGTGAAGATTTTTACTAGCTGCATACACGTAACTGATCAATAGAATGAAGAGATTTTGTATTTCGTGTAAAATTTTTTATTATAAATCGCAAAGCGCTTTCGGCTAAATAGCCATCATCAGTGCTATACTCGTCGAGTATTTACAAAAAGGTCAAAAAATTAGTGATCACCGACATCATTATGGTACAAACGGGATTAGGAACAGACATACATTCAACAAATATGTTTCCTAATGGGTTATTGTAAAATTTTTCAAAAATACATGTTGAGATTGTTTTGTTCAAGTCCAGAAATCATTTCTGCCAAACACGGTCGAATGCTTTCGATATGTCCAACGCGACAGCTAGAGATTCCCCGTGGTTTTCTATTGAAGATTGCCATAAATGGGTGACGTAGGTAAGTAGATCTCCAGTAGATCTTCGGTGGCGAAAGCCGTATTGTCTATCATTGATGATTCCTGAGCTCTCCAGATATTTGATAGGCTCAATATTGATGGCTTTCTCCATCACTTTGGAGATTTCTGATAACAGGGCAATGGGCCTGTAGTTGTTGGGCAGGTTCTTGTTCCCTTTTTGGGGATTGGTTGGACTCTAGCTGTCTTCCAGCATGATGGAAAAATACCCGACCTGTACGAGATGGTGAACAACTTGCAAAGAATCGGTGTTAATTCTGGTGCACATTTTTTGAGGATAATGGGTGGAATTCCATCAGGACCGTAAGCCTTATTCGTTTTGAGACCAAGCAAAATTCGTATGATAGTGCGTTGACGGAAGACGATCTCGGGCATTCGACTCTCAACGGGTGGAATGTCTGGCGGAAGTTTTCCTTGGGAATCTGAAGTAGAGTTTGCTGCGAACATCTCTGCAAAAATATTTGCTTTCTCCTGCGATGTTGTTGCTAATGTGCCGTCGACTTTGGACAGTGGTGGAAATTAACTATTAGTGAAATTTCTTCCGACCGCTTTAGCAAGGGACCAAAACGAACGGGAGCCATTGGGGCAATCTATGAGTTTCGATCTTATCTTGGCATTGTATGTTTCTTTCGAAGCATCTATTGTTTGGCTGCAGTTATTCCTGGCATCAACGCATTCTGCTCTAGTCGCGAGGTTAGGGTTTTTGCGCCAGCGATGGTAGGCTGTTTATTTCAAGGCAACAGTTCTAGAACAGTTTTTGTTGAACCAGGGTTTCGAAGGTGATGATCTTTCCGAAAAATGAGGTATGTATGTGTCCATTCCGAGCATGATGATGTCGGATATTTCCGCAGCACACTGTGAAGGGTCCTCAGAGTCAAAGTCTACTCTATGCCAAGGAAACTCGGAGAAAAACATGCGGAGACCGTCCCATTCTCCTGAATTTGTAATGCCATATAAGACGTGGGGGTGCCGGAGCAGTTGATGGAATGAAAAATGGGCAGGTTGTGGAGATGAGTGTGTGGTCAGAATTGCCAAGTGGAGCTCGTACATCTATGGTGTAGGGTGCTGAATTATTAGTGAGGAATAAGTCAAGTATGTTAGCTGAATGGTTATTGGCATCGGGAATTCGTGTGGGTTCTTTGATAAGCTGCTCTAAGCCGTGAGTGATGGCGAAAGCTTCGGCTTGTCGCCCAGTTTCATCCGTTCTGTTAGAGTGTACGAGCCGAGCAGTGTTGTGTACATTGAAATCGCCCATGATGATGATTTCTGCTGCTGGATGATTCTGTTGAATTTGGTCAAGCTTCAGAGACAAGAATTCGAAGAGCTCTTCATAGGATGAATCATTTGGTGATAAGTAGAGACAACAATTGATGGAAATGGTATGACACGATACTCCGTTCA